ATAAGGCTGATGTGGTCCTTGATTAAACCCCTGCTTTAGATGGTTCCATCTTCAGGCGCATCTACACTATAAAATTACTACAATTTGACATCACTTTAACTGCCATTGTGCAATGCTGTGGAATCATGGGAGTTGCAACGTTAAAGTTTCTTTAGCCTTCTCTGCCAAGGAGTATTGGTATCTCACCAAACTACAAAGCCCTGGATTTCATAGCATTGATCAGTTCAAGTCGCAGTGCAAAATGAAAATGGACATTCACTGCTACCTTTGGGTGTTAATGCCAACACCACAGCCAGGTAACCATAAAGGAACTCATCAAGTGAGAGGAAACCAGCACAGGGCACTTCTCCCACACAAACAAGAAGAAGCTCTTGGAATGACGCACACACAGAAGACTTGTAGATAGCTGTAAACCTTATTCTGTGTGCATACTATTAGTATATACTGTTACTTTTGATTGAAGAGTGCAAGAGCTTTCCCCAAAACATTAAGATGCAGTAATGTTTGAGTGACGTTCCCTGGGTAAATCCATGGTTTGTCATAAGGGCCCAAAGTAGGAGTCCCCAGCTATAAATATAAAGTGTCGATTATGTTCCTTGGGTAGCCTGGACCCCATTATGTGTGCCTAATGTATGTGTTTCCCACTTTTAAAGAAAGTAATGGCTTTTAGTGGAGAAATCAATAAAGCTTGATTATATTGTTCCTGAGGTTTTTAAGTGAGGAAAGAGGAAATTGGGTCTTCCTGTCTGTTCAGATCAAAGTAGTTACATATCTTAATATTTCTTTGCTAACTTTAAAATTTGAAATTCTAGCTCTGTATAAGCACAGGATTCCAACCCAACAGATGAGCAGAACAAGTCTGACACAAAGAAGTCCTTGCTGTAGGGGGTTTAGGATTAGACATGACTTGGCTCTGATGGAAGAAATTTTGCTGGCAGAATTGCAGAAGCACTCTGTTGTCTAACATCTAGAGGCAGACCCCCTGCCCCCCCCCCCAAATAGAGGTAGGGGTAAGTCAGTGGAAGAACTGAGTTATGCCAGATCTCAAGGAGACATCCATTTTCCTGGTACAAAGGTGAAAATAGTCTTGTATATAGAGCTATGGATTCAACTCTGTTTCCAAGTGTTGGCTCAGCTGGTGTTGTAGTTCAGCTTGTGATTGTGTCTGATGTCAATGTGGATGATGGTTTTCCTGGACCTGAATTGTCAAGTTCTATCCCTGTTGATAGACCTGGTTCTGGCCTTGCTGAGAGGCCTGGGGTTTTTCATGAACAGAGTGCTTCTCCTGTAAATTCTCAAGGTCAAATTCCTGAAAGGGGCCCATGGCAGTGGCAGCCTTTCTCTCAGAAATTGTCTTCAAAGGATGATTTGTCAGGTGCAGAAGTTATTGAGACTCAAGATAGAAGACAAGCCTTTTGTAAACTAAGACAAAATTCTCAGGCTCACAGAAGGTCAGCCCATCTTCTAGAAAAGAGAGATAAGAAATCTTTATCTGGTTGAAAAGGCAAACAGAATGTTTTCCTTTCATTTCATGAGACAAGAAAGGCTTTATATAAGACGAGGAAAGGATTTTAGCTCAGTCTGGTCAACATTGAATTTTCATGATGGTTTGTTTCCAAGTATATTTCATGTTTCAAGTACTTCATGTTTCAAGTTTTGCCAGGTTCCTGTTCTGGGTATTGGATCTCCATGCTATTTTGTTCTTTTGGATTTTGCATCCTTGGATCTTATGTCTTTATCTCTATACCTTTAAGTTCGTGGACTATTTGTTACCTTTGGAATACCGTATACTATTTTGGACTGTACTGTTTCTATAATTTTATTGCTTTGCTTGCATATATCCTTCAATAAACTGCTTGCTGATTTTACTATATTGGCGTGGTATTTAAGGACAGATGGCCCCTGTCCATCTTAGCTTTGTTCATAATAGCTCTGAGACAAAAGGAGAAGAGGCAGCTATAGGTGTTTTTTTTATTCAAACAATGCTTATGTTAATATCTATTGTGGGCAGGGAAGCCTCCATCTAGACAGATAATAATAAAAATGATCTTTGAAAACCAAATTAGATGGATTTATTTATGATGCTCTAGCCAATGTATCAGCTTGTATCCTCCTTTTCCATTTTCTCTTCTTTATAATGAATAATCCTATTATCATAGCAGTCAAGTCCTTTTTGGAGTGCTTTGGATGTCATTTCCCATTTGCTAGCTGAAGTGCTACTAATGTCCTTCTTCCTCAATGATCCTTTGAGAGCAAACAATATTAGAGAAAGAAAATATAATCAGATTTCAAGCTGAGAGGTGAGGCACGACACTCCTATGGCCTTTGAAAATCTATTTCATTGTCCATTTCCTGGAATACATTAGGGGCAAGAAAAAATATGTCACAAAACAGAGTAGAAGAGAATATCAAAGAAAATACCCAAGCTCATCCAATGCTACATAAACAGGATTCCTTTTCTTCTCCCAATGGACTAAAAAATGAAAACAAAAACTCTCAAAAACAACTACTACTCGCTCAAGAAGTTCGGCAAACTTCTAAATTAGATTTGTAAGAGCCACAGCAAATCTAAGGAATTTAAAGGAAAACAATTTGGCCTGTACTGTCCACTCTTTTCCTGGATGGACATCCTTGGAAGGATGTATGTCATTCTTTGTTGCTTGTTAAGATGCTAGTAATGGTTACCTTTTTGAGCACTTTTTCTGTTAGTTTTGATATTTAAGGATTAAATAAGGATAAGACTTAGATTCTTATTTTTATACCACTGCATTCCATTCTCAATTATTCATAAAATCATGATAGTTGCACTATATTTATTTATTTAGATTGTTATCCTCTCCAAAGAGGCATGGGATGGTAGTGAGTTTTGTTTTAGTCTCTTTGCTCTATAAGAATTTTTCAAAATGCAAAAAGGCCTTCATGTTCATTCAGGCCTGAGAGATAGGAGTTGCATATCTATTTCTCTCTCCCTCCTGGAAGTCTGATTGTTTTATTTTACTTTATTGAAGAATTTGGAAAAAATTGCAAATCATATATTGCGATTGGAAAAATCCTGAGATCACAATGGAGGACAAATTAGAAAAGAGTGAAAGATTTCCCTCTCCTTATATAAAGCATAACACATAAACTTGTTACCAGGAAAACCAGAACTTAGCCCAGGAAAAGCATAATAGTTTCATCTTCTAATGGACAGCATCATTCAATTGCATTTCAGAAGATCTGTCTTCAATGTCAGCAAGGCTTGAGGAAATTCCCAAATGTCAGCAGCAAATTAGACTTCTAAAAATCTCCTTTGGAAATCTCTTTTCCCCTTGCCCCTCAGCATCTTGATAAATATTGTGGAAAAGACTCCGTTACCTAATTTCTTTGGCTAAATGCATTTTGAGCAAAGCTTTCTCCACCCCCATTAATATTTACAGAAGAGAGGAAGGTCAAACAGGGAGAGGGAGGCATATGCAAACAATTATGCAAGCATCTACTTACTGAAAGGAGAAAGAAGATCTCTGCCTGGGGTGTGAAATAATTATTCTCACAGAAGGGCAATGATTTACCATTGGTCCTAGTAAATTCTGTTTAAAGAGAAATATGGACCTTCAAGCCACCTGTTGACTTAGGGAAACCCCACATATTTCCTAGAGTTTTCTTAACCAAAGGATACTCAGAAGTCATTTGCCATTGTCTCATTATGAAAAATAGTCTATTTTAAAATAGAAAATTGTTGGGAGTTGTACCTTCCTCCCTCTCTCCCTTTACCATAGAATGCATTTCTCTTTAAAACAAACAAATAAAAAACCCACAAACCTTTGGTGGTTGAGTGGTATCTTGATTTGGTAATGGTGGTGGGCCATGTGCTTTTTGTGCAAGGAAAAAGGTCCTAAATTCAATCCGTGGCATCATTAGTAGGAAGAGCTGGCAAAACCTGGAGATCTACAAGTCAGTATAGTAAATAGGGAGCTAAATAAATCTATTTGACTAGGATGAACCCAAGATATTTACAAAACATCAAATGGTGCACTTGCAGTTAGCCTGGCCAAGATGCATACATTATACTGTTGGCCCTTTACATTTGCAGGTATGGCAGATTTGATCATTTATGGAATTGATTAAATTGTTCTCTTTTAGAATTTTTAGATTCTCTCACAACCTCAGTCTGGTTCCTCTTCACTTTTGCCATGGAGCCTACTGGCTCCCATCCCAATATGTACATCCATTTCCGGGGCTCCATGTTAAAAGGGAAGAAGGAACTGGCGTACAGCACTATGGTGGCAACTTGGGAGGGTTCCTGTGTTGCATTGAAATCAATGAGGAAAGTCAGGCAGCGGGCACATCCTCCCATGTGATGAGGTAACGGGGAAACTGGGTGATGCGGTGTGAGGGACGATGGGTTCCCCGCTCCCCATGCAAGGCCCCACTGGATTTGCCTCGATCCATGGCAAATCCTCGTCTTAGTTTTCATTTCAGTTTCATTTCTGGTGAAAGTTGACCACAGAGTCATACAAGAGGACCTAGAGATTCCTAAAGTGGTGTCCTCTCAGGTGAAAAAGCAGTGATCGTTTGAGTTGCAGTATTCCCACTTTCATGGGGGAAATAACCCCCAAACCCCAGCAAATGTGAAGGGCTGTCTGTACTCAAAGCTATCCATATTATTTTGACATTACAAACAGGGCACTTCTTTCACAGCTCATCCTTTTCCTGGCAATAAAAAAATCAATAACAACAAATTAAATAAGTTTTTGTCTTTCCGAGGCATCCAAAATTGGTAGTATGTCTAGCCCAGGGCTGGAAAGTATAAAACCACTTCCTACGTATCCTTTGAGCTACAGTTCATCTTGTACCATAATCAAGGGATGCTGAGCTACTGTTATGTTGCAGCTAAGCAACCATTCTGGTTACCAAGGTTTTGAGCACTTGCTACTTATTTTCTCATTCAGACCATCTGAAGTATGTGATTCTTTTACATTTGTTCTTGTATACAGATCTGTCTCCTTCTCTTTGTGCAGGAAACTCTTGGATACAGAGGATGAACTCTCAGATATCCGGTCAGATTCGGTCCCGCTGGAAGTGCGGGATTGGTTGGCCTCCACCTTCACAAGGAAAATGGGGATGACGAAAAGGAGGCCTGAAGAAAAACCCAAATTTCGAAGTATTGTACATGCTGTGCAAGCTGGGATTTTTGTCGAAAGGTGAGCTCCTTGGATTGATGAACAGTATGTTTCAAATTTGAATATTTCAGGTGTTAACCAAATAGTGATAAAATGAATAGTAAATTTAGTCGAACAACACTACTCAATCTCACACCCCTGTCCACGTGGCACAGTAAGCAAGAGAATAAGAAGACTGAAGAATTTCTAAGCCCTTTGACTTTTAGTCCAAAAGGGAATAACAACTGAGTCTCATGCTGGGAGTGATTCGTCCTGAACTTTGAAAAAGTCTGCATGCAGGCTTTGAGGCTTGGACTCACATGTCCCTGACACTGCTATGTGCATTTTTTAAAAATAACAACCAACACATTAAGGCTGCACCTTGGTATAATCTCTGTTGGATTCCATAACACTTACCTCTCAGCTGGCATGCATAAAATTGCATTATAAGCCTACACACATATTAACAAGGAGATGAGGAAATGTGGACCCTTCCATTGCATCTCACTGTTGACCTGTTGGGTGAGGCTAATGGGATTTAGAGTTTAGCATATATGGAGGGCCACATATTTATTGTGATTTATGATACATTCATGTGTATACTGATTCTCCCAATTTTCCAGTATGGATTTATCAGCCCTCCTGTAAACATTGTATGGAGTAGGCTACATCAGGGCTTCTTAAACTTTTCCATTTGAGATCTCTTTTGACCTGAGAAATTTTTACATTACCTAAGGTATATAGGTATATAAAATAAGAATAAAAATCAAGCATTTACCGATAACAACAGACTGATTTCCCTTTTTATGAAGTGTAGCTTTCTGCAGAGTCCACTGTAAACACTGCACATCAGATTTGTGTAAATGTCTAACAACCTCATCACATGAGGAGAAATTGACATCCTAGCATGCTGCCAGGATGCTTCCTGCTCAGAGCCCACCTGATGCCATCATATGATGTATGCCAACTTCCGGCGGGGCTCTGTGGAGGAAGTGTCCTGATAGGATGATAGGACGCTTCCCTTGGAACAATGGGACCAGCATGGGAAGCTAAGTGGTGATGCTTCTCCATGTGTGATGGGGAAGCATCCTCAGGCGAAGTGGGGTGCGGGGTGATGTGATTGTCCCACAGATTCACCATGGAGGCTGGCAAATCATCCTGCATTCCTTCATAAATGTGATGAGGTCCTAAAACAGCCACTGGGTGACATTCAGAAAACGTTGACTGTTGCCAGTGTTTGGGATCTCAACAATGAGCCAAGGGGATCCCATGTGGGGCTAGAACTTGCAGTGTAAAGAAGCAGTGGACTAGATGGCCTTTATGACACCTTTCAACTCTATGATTCTGTGGTCCAATGAAATAGCATTTACTTCAGAGAAGCCATGTCTAGGTTACGCTTTACAGCAGGTGTAGAATTGTGTGACCTTCCAGATGATGAGTTACTGCATCGTCCAGAACTTCACCTGAAGGGCCAGATGATTCCTACTCCTGGTTTATAGTTTAATCCTCTTTTGCTTACAATAAAGCACTTTGCCTTGGGTGGGAGATTTTTCTGGTCTCCTGCATTTTATAGATTTTAAAGTCTTGTGGTTTAATTGGTCTGACTTTAAATCTTGAAAGGAACTCCAGAAGAACTACTTCTAAAGAATACATGAATTTCCACTAGATTTCAGGTGCTGTTTTCACTGAGTCTTCTTCTTTTTTAGAATGTACCGAAGAACCTCTAGTATGGTTGGTTTGACCTATCCATCTGAAGTGATGACAACTTTTAAGGTAAAACCAGTTCAAGAATTATACAAAGTACATTTCCAACTCAGTTTTGTTTATTGGAGCAATGGAGGAAGTCTGCTTATTTCCAATATAAATTCTAAGTTGTTTTGTTGAACTATGAAGGGATATTTTTCATAATCAAGTGGCCAAGAAATTAGCGGCGTCAGGGTTGATGAAGTCAATGTGCTTTTATTTTTTATGAACTGGGAAGATGGCATTGTGATTGTAAATATGCAATATTTGGGGGGTAACTTCATCCCCAGTGAAGAATTCTGACCCATAGGTAATACAAAAGATCAATCTACAATTATTTGCAATTATTTGTTTCCTGTGAAGAAAAGAGGTCTCCCAAAACTTAGGAAACCCAGCCAAGGAAAATACTCAGAAGCAAGGACCTAGCACAGTTTTCACCCAGTATTTGCATATCTGGGGATAAAATTGTGAAAGGGAAAAATAGACAAAGAGATTTATACTCTTATTCTGGCCTATTTTGATGGATGTGACAATGGGAATTATCATGATGATTACGGTATATATTTGTGTATACATTGACCTCATGGATAAGTCAAGAACAAATCTGAGGGTCAAAATTATGGATTTTGATATGATCTGTGGATAAGTGGAGGGTCATTTCTCAGAGAGGGGAAAGTACCAATGCCATCTCAGGAGCAGACACTCTGGCCACCACTGATATTTTCTTGTTCAGGCATTTTAAAAAGACCAGAAGCAATACCATAATGGAGAAAATAGAGGGGCTGAGTGCTTTTTAAAAGGTTATCCTGAGATAGATTACACTTTTGCCTTTCACCACTTCACTCAGAGAAGGGAATGACTCCTTTAAAAAGAATTAAGATACATGGTTACATTGACCATTGGGTAAGTCAAACCAGTGTTGAAGTCTGTGAAGTCTCCGAGTATGAGAAGGAGGCTTTTTGGTGGAGTCTGAGGTTTTCACTTCTGAGCCTGTTACTTCTGTGGGGAAAACAAAAATGTCCTCCTGATGATAGGAATATTTCGGTTAGATCTGTTGTTAGAGAAACAGAAAATATTTCTCATGAGAATCTGCCAGTGATTGTCTCTGAAAGGAATGTAGAAGAATCAGGAGCGTTGCCTATAACTCAACAATTACAGTTATGAAGAGATAGTGTGAAGCAGAGACAAGTTTGTTGTTCCCAGAGGCTGAAACATATGCAAAGAGAACCCAGGTGTGAGAAAGGGCAATGTTATGGCTAAGAATTAGAATTCTTAAGTATTTTGAGATGCTGTTCATTGGGAGATCAACGTTGGATTTTCATGGGTCAAGTCACCTGTCTTGGGAGTTCTGAGTTAGGAGTTCTTGCCTTTGGTTCTGTATCTTGCTTTCCTGTTTAAGATCAATGCCTCTTGATTGGACTAGAATTTTTCATTCAAGTTTTCAAGCCTGTGGATATAGTTGTGTACAAATTTTCAGGCCTTTGGATATAGTTTGGTTTAAGTGTTGAAATCCCCCAGATTACAGTTTCTTGTTTTACCCTTTTGGGATTTTGGATTCATATTCAGAATTGGTCACTGCTATTTGTTACGCTCAAGAATATCAAGCTTATGGCTATAACTTTGAAAATGCTTTCACACTCTGGTATTTTATTGTACCTTAGTGATTCCTTAGTCTGCTGATTTTGGAATGACTTCTGGTTTATTGTCCACTCACTTTTTAAACTGACTTCTCTATTATACTATTTTCTTAATAAACTTATTACTTATTGTTGAACTGTATGGTGTTTGGTGAAAAGGAGTCACACAGGCAGCTGGGCTGCAACAACCAGGGTTTTTGGATTGAGTTTTTGGCTAAAACTTTAGACTTATACATGATTTGTAGGGTATCTACTAGGGCTGGGCGGTTTCGTTTCGTTAATTCGTAATTCGTTAATAATTAGTTAATTTTTTCAATTACAAAACGATAACGAACCATTCTGGAGCAATTTTAAAAAAACGAATTTTCAAAAACGTTTTGTAAATGCTTCGTATTTCGATATTGTATTCGTTTCGTTATTGTTTTGAGGTCGTTTCGTTATTATTTCTGCATGTCTGGGCCAGTTTTATGGTTTAATTAGTGAAAAAAAATTATAATATCACACCAACAGTCAACAACAGAGGGAGAGGGAAGCTTCAGAAGGTTTTGGAGGTTTTTTAGCGTATTTCGCGGTCGCGTCCGCCATTAACGAATCGATTCGTTATTGTTTCGGAAATCGATTCGTTAATTTTTTACCATTTACGAAATTTCGTAAATATTGAACTTTTTAAAAGGAAAATTTTGTAATTATTTTAAATATCGAAACAAAAAAAAACCCCAAATACAAATCGATTTTAGAAACAAATTTTTCCGTTGTTACCCAGGCCTAGTATCTACTTTAACATCTGATTACAGAAGATGGTATATGGCCACATGTACATGTGAACTCTCCATCTACCTTGGAAAGCCATGCCCTTTGATTTGTTTGCTGTAGGTCTTGAATGTCACAAACACAGAAATGGTTGAGCTCCCCCCCCCCCCACCCTAGAGTGTGATCGTTTGCAGGATATTTGAGTATAGATTTTGGCATGGAAAGAATATGAAGAACTATCATTTCACATGCTATTCAGTGTTAAATAGATATGTGAATACATATTTTTGTGCACATTGCCTTTTTATGCTATTTTATTTAGATATTAGACCAACATGACATATCTGATTCATAAACCATTACACAAAGAAGCTATCCCCACCCCCACAATTCCCTAGCAACTGAGAATTAGTTCACTGTGTTTCTTCATGATGTCATTCTCTCTTTTATGGAGAAAATCTTCAATATCTGGATGTTATTCATGTAAGCATTCATTCTCCAGTGTGCATTGGGAGGAGGTTCGGTGATGTGAGATTGCTGTGATATGTGTGAGGTTGCATTTTTGTTTCTATCCAAACTAGTCAAAACAGTTATCATATTCTTTGTAGAATGAATCTCCCACATGGAGAAAAATATTTGTTTTTCATATCGTGTGATTTTCATCATGTGTGCATTTTGCATTTAGAATGATGTTGTTTTAAGTTTGGCCATAGAACGTAAATGTAGATGTCTTTGAACGTCTGATTGATAAAGCAAACATCTTAGAGACAATGCCGTTGTGAGAGGAAAAATGCGTCAATGATGTGGGGAATGCAGGTGGGAGGGGATGTGGAATAGAGACTCGTGAACAGCAGCTCTTCACACTGCAGCATTATGTTCCAGATCCTTCTTATGATTCCATCATATTGTGGACTTATGTTCAATTGCTTGTTGTTGTTGTTGTTGTTGTTGTTGTTGTTGTATGCATTCAAGCCATTTCTGGCTTATGGAGACTCCACAGTGAACCTGTTGCAGGATTTTCTTGAAGAAATCTGTTCGGAGGGTGTTTGTTTTTTCCATTCTTTGAGGCCAAGAGAGTGTGACTTGTCTAAAGTGACCCAATGGGTTTCTATTGTTGAAATAATTTCAACATTGGACTCCTGAATTTTGCAGGGTTGCTGGATTTCCTTGAAGAAACCTGTTCAGATGGTGGTTGTTTTTTCCCTTCCTTTGAGGTCTAGAGAGTATGACTTGTCTAAGGTGACCTAGTGGGTTTCCATGGCTGAGAGAACTTCAACCTTGGACTCCAGAATTCTAGTTCACTACTAGAACTCTGGTCTAGCACTACACTGTCCTGGCTTACTATGAAGCAAACCAAGAAAATAACTAGAGAACATGATCCAGCTTGATTTAAGCATTTTAAAGGCACATTAAGTAGACTTCTAGTGGTTGATATTTTAAGCAAAAGCTGTGGGCACTTTTATAGAACGCAGAGTGCCTTTGTCTTTCTGAATCATGCCTATTTTATACACTTGTACATACACTCTCACACATGGACACTGTCTTAATATTTTGTTACATAAAATACTTAAACAGCAGAGGCTGTTTTAATCTATTATCAAAATTCCCTGTAATGCTACTAAGGTAGGGAAGTATGACATTCCTAAATTTTATCCCCCTTATTTTCCTTACAGGATGTCGATAAATGGTCATTTGATGTGTTTGCCCTAAATGAAGCAAGTGGAGGCCACAGCCTAAAATTTATGATGTATGAACTGTTGATCCGATATGATCTAGTGAGCCGTTTCAAGGTAAGAAAATGTCTACTACAAAACCAAGGAGATCCTGAATTCCCAAATAATCTCTTGCAAATAACCGGCTATTTAGTTTTATAAAGTGTAGTACACTTTTCTGTCATAAAAGTTTTTTTTTTAATCTCAGGAGCGACTTGAGAAATTACAAGTCGCTTCTGGTGTGAGAGAATTGGCCGTCTACAAGGATGTTGCCCAGGGGAAGCCCAGATGTTTTGATGTTTTACCATCTTTGTGGTCATGTCCCCGCATGGGCTCATCCACGCTCTCCCCGGATTCAAACCTGCGGCCTGTCGGTCTTCAGTCCTGCCAGCACAAGGGTTTAACCCATGGCACCACCGGGGGCTCTTTGTCATAAAAGTGCAAAATAGGGGTCTGATAGACAAAATAGGTGTTACTTTTATGTATTAGTTGTGTCATTTGGTGAGTAAGCCCTGAAAATGGCACTGTGATATTACCCACCTTCTTGGACCATGAGTTACAGGTATGATAAATTACAAAGGTAACATGGAAAGGTTTTGAAAATTCAGCCTTTACTAAAATACATGCATTTACCTTCAAAATAAATTAAGCCTGCAAGATTTTTTTAAAAAAAAAACATGTTGGGAAAAAAAAACGTGTGGTTGTCCAAAGGAATGGCATTCCACAATGTGGGTTCAATTGCTTGTTGTCATTACGGATCTCATCACACAGGGAGAATATAGCATTTTAGGATGCTTCCAGACTGTCCAGAGGATAGAGCTTCACAATGTCGTGTGACTTCCAGAGGAAGCCCTGCCACCACCTGGGATGGAAGTGTCATTAGACACTTCCCCCATAATTCGGGAGGTCTCCTGTGTCGTGCTGGCTCCAGTAGCATGGGGTCTCGCCATGAGGGCGATACTTTCCCCATGTGATGGGGCAAGCATTGTAGAGAGGGACAACATGCAGGGCAATGAATCTGCCCTGCTGCCCCATTCTTGGCAAAGCCTAGCAAATTGGCACTCTTTGCCTGGATTTTCCCATGAGGACTTTCCCATGAGGCCCTAAGCACTCAATAGGATCAGTGATTTCTATCTGGCAAGTTTTAGCTTCCCCGTAAGCTCTGGGACTGCAGCCTCCTTCAGTCCTAGTCAAGTTTGTCAACTTCAAAGTCCCACAATATCAGTAGGGCCATACGGTTTATTTATGTGACTCTTAAAGATAAATAGAAAGTAAACATACTGTGCATCAGGACCTGGGAATTATAAGCCAAGGAATGAGTCCTCACACTGCCTGGCCCAGACTGTTTGTGGCCATGATGAATGGTACACCACAGAGATTGGTCACACTGAGATACAATTTATCTTCCATATCCATAAATTCTGTATCCACTATTCAATCACAGCTTGAAAAACGCTTGATTTTGCAATCTTATATTAGGGATGCCATTTTACTATACTATTGTATATAATGGGACTTGAGCTTCCATGGATCTTAGTGTTGGGAGTGGGGGTAGTACTGGAGTCAAATCCAGTGCTTATTATATTGTAAGATTTAAAACTGTATTATACTCTACTTATATTATATTGTAAGATTTATACTATATTATGCTATGAGTTTATTATACTGGAAAATATTATAAAAATGTCTGTTTGAAGTGACCCATTTTGCTGGCTAACCACAATTTCAATTTCGTGCATAAGTACTGAATGGAAAGAGATGTGCACTGGCTTCGAGAAGTGCCCTGAAAACCACTCCTATTCCTTCTAAATATGACTGTTCTGCTTTTTTAATTGCCCTGTTTAATGATGACCTCTAAAGACAGGAACAGCAAAATGATCAAGTCATGTCACCTTACAGTCTGCATACCTCAGATCTATCCATTTTCCTTTTGATGTTTGCCTCTTGCAGATTCCTGTTCCCAGCCTTATTTCATTTGCAGAAACATTAGAAACTGGCTACAGCAAACACAGAAACCCCTATCACAACTTAATCCATGCTGCGGATGTTACCCACACCGTGCACTGCATCATGCTTCTCACTGGTATCATGGTAAGAAACTATGATTTAGGTCAAGCCCACAGGAACTTGAGGCATTGACCTTATGCATGCCCAAAGCCTATCGCAAAACACTGATGGGACAGTGCATAAATGGTATGTTGTTGTAAATGAGTTATGACAATCCAAAGATCAACTTTATACATTATCCAAGACAGGTCTGGGATTACTTCTTTTTACTCCAAATATTTTGGGCTACATCTTCTGCAATCTGATCCATTTCCCTGGCTGGTTGGGGCTTTGGTGAACTTTAAAAAATCAAAATATCTAATAGCACAGGCCAATGGCTTATATCCAGAATTGCAGGGTTGTGGTTTCCTTAATTGAGTCTGTCCATCTGTAATATGGTGTTCATCTTCTCCTACTACTGCCTACCAAGCATCTTTGTTTTGTTTTTCCCAGTGGGTTTTGTCTTCTCCTGATATGTCCAAAATATAACAGCCTAATTTTAGTCATCTTGGCTTCTGGAGAGATTTCTGGCTTATTTTGCTTTAAGACTTGTTTGTCTTTTTAGCAAGACATTGTAGTCATAGAACTCTTCACCAGCACCACATTTCAGATTAGTAGATTATCTTCTAATCAGCTTTGTTCACTTTCATAAATGAGTCAGGACAGTCACAGTTTACTACTCTTGGTGCCTTTTTACACAGTAAAGTTATAGCACTGTGTTTTCATTAATTGCCATGGCTGCATAATATGGCACCCTGGGATTGTTAGTTTAGTGAAGCATTGGAATTCGAAGATAATACTAAACACCTCTCCCTAAATTGCCAACCCCAGGATTTCATGTGATATTGCTGTGGCACTTAAAATGGAATTATAGTGCTACAATTGTGCAGTGTGAACGGTCCCCTGAACTAAGTGTATACTTAATGCTCTGTTAAAGATATCCAGGAATTTGTTTCCATAATGCGTTAGATCTGTTTAACATGAAGTTTAAACAGGAATGAACTATTTCCACTACCTGTGATTTTTTTTCTTGACTAGCACTGGCTCACAGAACTGGAAATATTAGCAATGATCTTTGCCGCTGCCATCCATGACTATGAACATACTGGGACCACAAACAACTTCCACATTCAGACCAGGTAAGCCCATTGCCAGTCAGTATGCACAACTAATGTAGAGGAGAAGAGAACCTTTGCTGCAGGAAGCAGGCTTCCAAATGTTGTTTTTCCTCAAGATCTGATGACACTCTTCCATGCTTCTAATGCTAACAGAACACCACAGAAGCTTTTGCTAATGTAATAATTGCAGAGCTCCCAGAAGGCAAAGAGAAAGGAAGAAGAGAAGGGTGACTAAGTGAATTGAGACATTGCAGTCCCTAAATCTCACCTTTGCAGATATTTTCATTATGCGTAATAGTGAAAGAGACCATTTAAGCGGGAAAATATTGCTGCTTAGTAGGCATGGGCAATCCATGATTCTAAATGGTTCTAAAGTACTTACAAAACTAAAGGGTACTGCTGCTCTGCTTCTAAAGTGTTGCTAAAGCTGGTGCTTTGCTTCTAAAATGTTGCTATAAAGTACTGGTGGTGAAAATTTCAGAACTCTAACAAATCTTTCAAATTTTCATTATTTTTTTTATTGGCAATTTTTATGACAGAACCAATTAGAAACTGCCATTTATAATGAAATTTTGTAAGTTTTGTTAGAGTTCTGAAATTTTCACCACCAGAACTTTAGCGACACTTTAGAAGCAAAACACCAGCGCCCCCTAGTTTCGTAAGTACATTAGAACCATTTAGAACCATGGATTGCACATGCCTGCTGCATTGGGCTGCCAACGAAACCTTGGAGCTGCTACCAGTATCAGGACTTGGAAACCATAATCTCATCTTTATTCCAAGGTGTTCAGTGTGCTTTGCAAGTTAACCTCAAAACAATCCTCTGTGGAAGAACAGAGTAGGAAGATGTGAGATCCAAAGTCACATTATAAGTTTCATGGAGGAGTAGGGATTCATGTCCAGGTCATGCAGATCTGACTTAAAGTTGCAGATACATTTACAAGCTTTTTGAAGCACTCCCCCAGGTGGTGGAAGAAGTCTGTTTCACAAAGCATGTCATTTTGCACACTGATCTTCCTTGTATAAAGGACAGGCATGAGCAAACTTTGGCTATCCAGGTGTTTTGGACTTCAACTCCCAGAAATTCAAGCCAGCTAACCAGGTGTTAAGAATTGTGACAGCTGAAGTACAAAGCACCCAGAGGGCTGCGGTTTGCCCATCCCTGATATAGGACCTCATTCCACAAACTGGAGGGGAGGGGGGTAGGTGAAATTGTCTTCTTTGTGTGGCATTCTGGAGAATTTACCCGTTGTCATCATCCAGGATTCCCTTCTCCTGTTTCTAGCTCAACCATCTGCTTCTTTTTCCATCACATGGGTGGATGTTTTCTCCCCTCATTTCAAGGAGACCAGCACACTTTTTAAACCACTTTTTCAAATGAGATCTCCACTGTGATCTTTACACCCCTACTTTAAACAAGACCAGCACACCAGGAAATCTTGCTTCTTTCTCTTTCTTTCCTTCTCAACTTGTAAAGTGTGCCACTTTGTTTAGAACACTAACAGGGATTTAACAACAACAACTTTTTTTGTACCCCCACCTCCATCTCCCTAAAGGTACTCAGGGTAGCTTACATATGGCACAATGTGCCTGGAACAACACATAAAATAAACACACAATAAAATAAAAGATAAAACCACAAGCATATAAAGCAATTATTTAAACTCAAAACAGCACCTGTTGTGTACTCTTTTTCTGAGGAGGAGGAGGAGGGGGTAGAACAGGAGGCTGAAGATATAGGAGTTGGGATTTGGGGCCACGTGTTGAGGAGGAACAAGAGGACCAGGAAAACATACTGCCAGTTCCTACCTTTCAGGAACACTGAAGGGCAAAAGAAGAAAGGAGAAAGTCAGCTAGAATTGCTGCAAGGATGCTGAGCAATCAGACCTTGCCCTAGGAACACCTGTGCTGGGAGCTGAGGGCTTTAAATCAGCAGTAAAGCAAGGAGTCAATGCTGGCAGCAACTATTCTACTCAGTGCTTCTGTGCCCTGTTTCCTTGTTTGCAGCTCCAAGAAGTGCCTCGCAAAGACTTTTGGCCAAAAACTTTGGTTTTATGTCTGATGTAAGACTTGCTTTGATTTTGGGATTTTCCTTCTGTTCCTTTGCTGCTGTTCGTTAAGAGCATTATCTTTTTGCTGAAGTAAAGCTTTTTTAGTTGCTTTAACCCTTGTTGTAAGGCTGTTTTTGAGGTAAAACAGAACAGCGCCCGATAACCTAAGGTGAGAACTGTCATAAAACATGGCCAGCAATAATCAGGAACAGGAAAATGGATAGTGCAAGTTGTGGCTCATGAACTAGGAACTGGAACAAAAGTGCAGTGCTCTGTCATTAATTGCAGTCCATTGAGGTTAGATTTCTGCATTTCCCACCAGAACTGAAAGTGTCCAAAGAATAATGGTGACAGAAGGAGCATTGACGGGCATTAGCAGACTGCCAACATGAATGCCACTCCCCATCCCAAAGAAACTGAAATATTACAAAATGGAGTTTGAACAGACAAAGCCATCATTTCCCATCCTAATTAAAAATGACAATTTTAAGAGTTTCTACATGCAATTCCTGTCCATCTTTCAAATCCTCCCATTTCTATATACTGCAGAGACAGAATCCCACGAGCAACCCTTGGAATCTGTCATGTAGCATCTGATGAGATCTGTGAGATTTTGTCTTCGAAGTGTGTAGAAATGGAAGAAAACCTCCATCTGATGAGTGTGTTTTGTTTAGTGTTAATTACTGGAAAGTAAACATAAGCTCAATTTGTAATTGGGATTGCTAGGCACATATATCTAAGGAAATTTCAGTGTGGGTGGGAAAATGGATTAAATTAGGCAATGTGCATTCTTCTAAACATCCACCTTGACCCTAAGACACTGCCTACCATACGATGCTGTTCTTTTTAATTACATTCAAGTTGACTGCAACCTATAGTAATCGTATGAATGAGAGGTTGCTGAGTCTTGCAGATTCAGGTTCATGGCTTCCTTGATTGAGCCTTTCTATCTCAAATGCGGTCTTTGTCTTTTCTTACCGCCCTTCACCTTACTTAAGCGTTATTGTTTTTTCTAGTGAATCATGTCATCACATGATATGTCCAAAGTACAGCAATTTAGTCACCTTCACTTCTATGGAGAAATCACGCCAGATTTGTTCTGGAACTCATCTATTTGTCTTTTTAGCTGTCCACAATATACATAATTTTTTTCTGCAGCACATCACAAGTTAGTTGGTTTTCTTCTTGTTAGCTTTTTTCAACCATACATAAAATAGGTATGCACCATTCTAACTTTAGTATTCAGTGATTTATCTTGCCTAGTTCGTTCCATGTACAACACTGTACGTGTCCTTTCAACACAGCGGGGCAGAATGTAATAGCTATGCCTGAACTTCTAGCATTCCTCTCGACAACCTTCTTCTCCTTAATTGTTATAGGCAACAGTATTTTAATTTTTGATGCATTTTACACAGTAGGAAAGGGGAGAATGTGGGCCTGGGGCTCACAGGAAAAACAAATGATAAGGATACTTGTTGATGATGTTCTCTTCTGCTGTCTCAGAACCCTTAAAGTATAGTTTTGGTCTTAGCTCTTTGTGTGAGTGCCCTGCTTTATTTTATTTTTAAACTCCAATGCTGCCGTTGCTTTTATTTATTTATTTATTTATTTATTTATTATTTACAACATTTCTATCCCGCCTTTTTCAGCCCGAAGGTGACTCAAGGCAGCTTACAAGTTGGCAGCAATTTGATAACAATCCACAATATACAATTAAAACATTTAAAACAACATTATAAAATCCATACAACATTTTTAACATTTGCAAACAACGGAAAACCGTGAACTAGTTGCACAGAGTGACATATAGGATGTTTGGTGTAGAAGGTGCTATAAAAGGATTATAGCATAATCCTTTTTCCTCCTCCCAAAAACCTTTATATCAGGCATCATTTCTTGTAGTCCTCCATATGATATTTGTCTAGGTTTGTTTCTCATTTCTGACCATTGGCCCTGCTTGCTGGAATTGATGGGAGTTGGAAGGTCACAGTTTCTTTACTCATATAAACATCACCAAAGCCATCTGGTTCCCACTAGCAAAGAAGCTGTATATCTGTAGTTATACTTCCTGGCCTTGTCATGAAATGTGACCTCCAAATTGCAATATTTACTGAAACATCCCTCTCCTCAATAATCTGATCTTCCACCCCCAAAGACGAATAAATTTATCATGAAATACTGCCTGCCTTCTGTTCTGTTTCGGGCACGGTTTTTACCACAAATCTTAACTCAGAGAAGAAAGCTTTAAGTGCTCAGAATGTGTGTGTTGATTTATTTGTCCAGTGTTGTATCTGCTTCTATGGTGACCACGTCAAACCAGTGCTTGCAGCATTATACCTAAAAATAACTTTTATCAGTCAGTCCAGTAACTCCAAATTTAGACCATTTTTTAATTTTTGTCCAAAGTTGTTTAGCCTTGGGAGCCCTAAATGTGGAAGAAGAAAATTGCCTCTTCCAATTCAATAACATAAATAAAAACATAAATAAAATTGAGTTGGCTGGAGCTATGGTGCTAGTTCTCAGCCTACTTCTGTAATGAGGAATTACAGCCCCAATCTATGTGTTCAGCAGAATGAGGAAGCGTTGTGGTTGAAAACTGGCACTGTGGGTGCTAAGATGAACTGTGAACAATGCCAGAAGAGGATTTTATCTCAGCATCCCAGTGCTTTGTTCACTGAATGTTACAGGATTTTGCCCAATGTTGTTCTTTATTTGTAATACTCATTTTCCACGGCATCTTCCATCATTCCGTATCTCAGAAAACAGGTTCAGGACAGAGAGAAAACAAGCTGAATGGTATTTATTAATTCTGAACAAGCAAAGCCCTTTGGCTGAAAATACTCTGCATCATTTGAGGCTCTAAATGGGGAGTGCCATTTTGTAAAACTCTCCTGACCCTTCCCATGCTCTGCATCCCTCTCTGTCTTTCTCTGTTGTTCAGACAAGAGAACCAGCTTGAGATAAAACCTGTCTTCCTAATACACTAGGGTTTTTTATTTCTGGAAAATTTAGTTCGGAATAAACTAAAAGGGCGCTCTCCTTCATAGATGCTTTCTAGCCATCTGGCAGCACTGTTGACAATTGAAAGAAAAAATATGTTTATTCCTTGCTGGGATGGACTGTAAGAAATTATTATTCTCAATTTCAGAATTTTTTGCAATTTTTTGTAAAGTTTTTGCATGTCTCTGTGTGTGAACAGATGTGCACAGATAGAGAGATACAAACTCACCTTTTGCTGCAAAATGTCATTTCTTTGCTATTGACAGAAATGTGCACATCTTTTCATTTTCATGCAGAGACAAAACATTCTTGCAGTGGGATCAGTTTATGTTGGAGAATAATTGTGAATATTTTTTGAATATTGATTCTACAGCCTCATTTTGTGGCATATTTACTAATCCTAAATCTATCTGATTATAAGCATATCTGCTAGAGTATTTAGGTCCATGGTGGCTGTTGGTTTCCATGGCCATAGGGCTGTAAATCCACTCTCTGTTATAGCTTTAAACCAGCCACCTGAGGTGTGAAACTCTATTCCCAAAATAGAAATAAGGATTTTATATATCTCCTTTAAAGCTGAAGCCCGAAGTAGAATCAGCACTTCACTGACATAGACGCTACTTCTGGCTTATTGTAACTCTTCTGCCACAATCCTGTGTCCAAATAATGGGTCCGTTTTCCTTTTCTGGGCAATAGTTGACTGATATACATGAATGAAAAGAGAAGACTATTTGTTGCATGAAGTAGTATCTTCTTCATAATGCTTCTAAGGCAAGTTTGGACACAGTTTGAGTAGTCGCTATAGCCTGTAAATATCTAACAGAGTTTCAAGCTGATAGAGTTGCCACCATTCAAGAATGTGAAATTGTTGCTTTATGTCTATGCTAGTTGCAGCATTCCGGACCTTCAAGGATAAAAAAAGGTCATTTCTGATAAGCTCCAAATACAATGTGTTCTTCTGTCTTTGGCCTCAGCTGGATATAACTCTCCTTACTAAGATAACAGGTGCATAACAATTGTGTGTTTGCTTAATATTCTCTTCTCCGTATCTAGGTCAGATGTTGCAATGTTGTACAATGACCGCTCTGTTCTTGAAAACCATCATGTAAGTGCTGCTTATAAGATTATGCAAGAAGAAGATATGAACATCTTGGTGAACTTAAGCAAAGATGAATGGAGGTAAGTCTGCCATACTTGTTAAGTAAGACACCAGTCAGAGGCCCAGCTCAAGTTCACCGTTCCCAACTAGCTAGCTGTCTTATCACCATATTAGTGATGAACATCTTAGATGACTTCAGAGAGAGCCTGGAGATCTATGAAATAGCAGGGTATTCCTGTATATCAGCTACAGCAAATTATGCCTACATATCAGCCTAGCACTTGACGTGGGACATAATCAAGATTTTGGGACGTTGGAATTTGGCTTGTTTGGTGGTACAAGGAGGAATATTTGGGTTGAATCCATGGGTATAGAATATATAGATGTGGGAGGACGACTGTAGTAAGAACAACAGGTTGGTGAGTTTTCTTTAAAATATACATCTGTCATGAGGAAATCAGGAGGTTTCCAGTTGATCAAAGTTTTAACTGTTTTTTTTAAGTTTATTTTTGTGATGAGGAATAAACAGATTGGTTTTTTGTCATCTAAACCTCACATTCTGGAAGAAATGCAATGCTGACTTAGTAATGTTGATTGCCTGCAGAGAGCTGCGCACCTTAGTGATCGAGATGGTCTTGTCTACGGATATGTCGGGTCATTTCCAGCAAATCAAAACCATCAGGCACACGCTTCAGGAGACCGAAGGGTAAGCAATTTCCCATTTTTGCAGGGCTGGCCAAAGAGGGGGTTTCTGCCTCTGGTAAAGGGCTCCGCAGTTTAAAAATATGCCTGTAGTGGTAGCGGAGACTTCCACATTGGTGATAGGACAGCATAATTTGTTTCATTTGAGTGCACAGTGGTATGTCCCTATGAAATCACATCTTGTCCCTATGAAGTCACATGTTGTATCGTGAGAATAGATGTATTGCTCCTGCAACAATCTTGCTGTTGCTGGTTGCTAATGGGACAATGTCTTTGATTGGGCAGGGTAGACAAAGCCAGAGCCATGTCCCTGATTCTACATGCAGCCGACATCAGTCATCCATCAAAGACCTGGAACCTGCATTTCCGATGGACTAAAGCACTGATGGAGGAGTTCTTCCGACAGGTACCAGTCCCCTCCCTGAAAGGCATTAACAAAGATCTCACAAGCTGTGGCTTCTCCAAGGGGCATCCACTTTGGTCCCGATCTTTAAAAAAGATACCTGGTGCAGAATCCTAGCCCCACATAGGTTAAGCAGGGTCGCCCGTAATGAGCAGTAGCTCTCACAGAGATTTGTGGCCATCCTGAACAGTGCTACAATCATAACGCAAGAGCAGCCCCTTCTCATTTGCTGGTATCTAGTTTCCAGAAATATATTGCCCCTGGAAAAGGAGATTCTCTTTAATTATCATGCCAATATCACATATTTTTTTCCATTGATCTGTCTTCATGCATATGGGGTGGGTGGGTGCAAATATTCACAATTCTCTTCCAGCAGCCACATGCTTTGGAGCAGCATTGCAGAGCTTGGTAAAGTTACTCATTTGCAATAGAGCTTCTGACATCCATAATCTAGCAAGGATAGTGATCATGTTAACTGGAAAATTCTAAGTGGGAAAAGGCAATGTTTCCAAGCTCTAGCTTTGCACCCAATCATATGGAAATAATTTAATGATGACAAAATACAACTATGTGCCTTCTTTGTCCATGGCTGAGAAACCCACACCCTCATGGGGCTCCCCTTCCCAGATGTGACAGATGTGGCTTGCAGAATTCCATTCCAAACAGCAAGGAAAGGACATGTGGGGACATGGCTTCCTTCCCTGCCTCTCCCTTCCTCTGGTCTTCTGTTTCTCTTTGCTCAATATGCGTCAATATTTAGGAGTTCTTTCAAAGTCAGCCTGTGAATTCTTACACTTGTTTTCATTTCTGTTTGCAGGCATACAGTTTTCATTGTGTGTCCTTTTCCTCCTGCAGGGAGACAAAGAAGCAGAACTAGGCCTACCTTTTTCTCCTCTATGTGACCGTAAATCCACCATGGTAGCACAGTCACAAATAGGTATGAATTGGCTGCTTTTTCCTCTTATAATAGATAAGAACAGAGCTGTGATCATTATAAAACAAGACCAGACGTGTTTTTAAGTCTGACAACCATTTATTTCACTGTCCAGCTCCTTGGTGACTAGTACAGCTACTACTGTTATTGTTGTTGATGATATCAATATGCCTACAAATCATTTCTGCCTTATGGCAACCTAAGGGTTTTCTGGTGCTGAGAATATGTGACTTGCCCAAGGTCACCCAGTGGATTCCCATGACTGAGCAAAGAAAAGGAATTCTAGTCTTCATGGTTGTAGTCCAAATGTCAAACCACCATAGCTTACTGGTTTCCATAAGTTTGAAACAACTTGAGGGAACATAACAATGATGGCATTGTTTGGTAGAACCTGCATCATAGAAGCTTACTAGAATATTAATAGTTAATATGTTGTCGAAGGCTTTCATGGCCAGAATCAATGGGTTGCTGTGAGTTTTCTGGGCTGTATGACCATGTTCCAAAAGCATTCTTTCCTGATGTTTCACCCACATCTATGGCAGGCATCCTCAGAGATTGAGGAGTTGAGACCCCTCAGCCTCTGAGAATGACTGCCATAGTATTGGGTGAAATGTTAAGAGAGAATGCTTCTGGAACATGGCCATACAGCCCAGAAAACTCACAGCAACCCATTAATAGTTAATAGTTTATTTAATAAAATGTAATGAAATAATTGAAAACAGGTGTTTAAAAAAAGCTTTGAATATTCTGGCTTATTCCTTCCTTGGTGGCTTCTGGTGAAAAAGCAGAATGTAAAAGTATTATTTTGCAGTTATAGAATTCCCAGTCTAAGCATGGATTTCAGAATGCTGGAATGGCTATTGTCCTCTGAAATAAGTTCATCTGGCATCAGTGTCAAGTCTGTAGATCCCGACGTTTTCTCACAAAGCAATAGAGGGGGAGAGAGACTGAGATTGAGAGAAAGGCTATGAATCAACAGGCTGCAGTAGGATCTACCAACTGCCACAAGGATAGGAATTATGTGACCTTACAGAAATAGCTGAGTTGAAGCTTGCACCACCTTTAGCCAGCATTGCCACAGGTGACAGTCTGTGGTTCATCAAACCAGGATGACTGCATGATTACCAGACCCTGACCTATCATTCACACAGTACAACAACAACAACAACACTCTTGGAATTATGGTTTTTAGGCTTGTTCTTGGGGTTATTTGAGGTGCTGATTCAGAAAATTCCATTGGTTGCATCATTTCTAGATTCTTAGATATGGTTGTCATGATTTTTGGTGGGTGAGCAGATGGCATATGTTCTCTATCTCAAAAACTCGAGCTGATAGGGAAAAACTGTTGCCATTTTTGGAATCAGCAGATTAAATATACCCAGAAAGAGGTCTATCATTTGAAGCACCAACATGTGTGTTGGCCACTGTCATAATGAAGACATTCCATATTAAGGGTGGACAACTTGTGCCCCAACCCCAGGTGTTGGTTGTCTGCAAGTCCCATAATTCCAGTATAGCAAAGCTAGTTTGGGGGTGAGTTGTGTGAGAATTTCAGTCTATCTGTGTCTGGAGTGCCACACACACTATTTTCTTTGCTTCAGGATTTCTGAGTGGCTGGTCCTGGAGGAATCCAGCATGCCTCTCACTCCAATGCCCTTTCACATCTACATAAAAAGATGATGACTGAAGATTGTGGCTCCCCATTTTGAAAAGGAGGGCTGTGACCTCATCTGACTTGACTTTTCTGACATTGCCTTGCTAATCCAAATATTTGATGTGTGGGGGCCCTTTGTGTAAGGAATCAGCAAAATCATAGGATTTACTTTTAATCTCAAGTCCAGGATGTTTGACCAGTGAGTAGTTGAGAGGAGCAAGGCATCTCAGAAAAACTTTAGATGTCTACTGCTCTAGAACGTCCATCTCTTAACCTGATGTTCTCCAGATGTTTCATATGATAAACTAAATCCCTTTGGACCATTGCGATGTGCTGTCTGATGTGTGTTGAAGTCCAAAGCATCCAGAAAACACCACATGGAAGATGTTTTACACAATGCCAGGCAATATTCTTCATCCTAGCTAGTGTCTTCAATTCACATATATTACCTGGCTAATTGAGACTTGTCAAGAATTGAGCTCCCCTGGTGGTGCAGTGGTTTAAACCACTGAGCTTCTGAACTTGCTGACCAAAAGGTTGGCGGTTCTAATCTGGGGTGCGGGGTGAGCTCCCACTGTTAGCCCCAGCTTCTACCAACCTAGCGGGTTGAAAACATGCAAATGTGAGATCAATAGGTGCCGCCTTGGCAGGAAGGTAACGATGCTCCATGCAGTCATGTCGGCCACATAATCTTGGAGGTGTCTATGGACAATGCTGGCTCTTCAGCTTAGAAATGGAGATGAGCACCACCCCCCAGAGTCGGACACAACTAGACTTAAAGCCAGGGGAAACCTTTACCTTTACTAATTAAGACTTGGGTTCTCAGATCACGTGTCACCACTTTCCAGCTTTTGCAGATTAAAACTATCCATTTCCAAGAAGACAATAGTCTTCCTCTAAGTCCTTTAAGTCCAACAAAATTACTGAACATGTTGAGAGCCTGTGAGGCCTCTTTTCTTTTGTGTACTATTGGATTCATGCTTGTTCAGATCTTGGTGGGGGATAATGTTTTGTTCGCTATGTAATGCCTTGCCTTGACAAGTGTTCTGGGAAAAACCAATGCAAGGAGTTAGGGATTGGACAAAAGGAAAGGCATTGTTCAGTATTGACATCTCAGAGCTGCAGGTTGAATACTGTCTCCCAGGGATATTTCTTGCTCTATTCACTGATGTGACAGAACACTCCTAACGCATTCTGAAATAACACTTACCTGACATAATAAAACAGTAATTTTGAATATCAACTCCACCACACTATTTTTTTTAAAGATCCACAGTTCCTTGCTAGTTGTTACACACACATGTTGCTGCCATGTGAGAACTTATCTTGCTAGGAAGGGAAAAGAGAAAAATGGGGAAGGAATTAATACTACCTTTGAAACAAACTGATATATTCTAGCTGGTGCTTTTGTGGATAACAGCCCATTTTTTCAAACACACTGATAGAATGGTAGGTAGTAAAACCACAGATTTCTAAGCACATCAACACAAATGTAGACAAGGAATATAATTAGATACAGAAAAATGCAAATTATGATCTTATCCATAAATATTAAAAATGTTTGAGATTATATGGATCATTCAGTACAATAAATTTTATTGGTTTTTATATGTTTTTTGTATTATATTGATTTTATATTGATTTTATGATGCTGTTTTAAATGTTTTAATTGTATATTGTGGATTGTTATGGCATCAAATTGCTGCCAATTTGTAAGCCACCTTGAGTTGCCTTCAGGCTTGAGAAAGGCAGAATATAAATATCGCAAATAAATAAGTAAATAAATTTTCTTGCCAAACATCAGTCTCCTTAGGGTCTCAACCTTCTCCTGAGAGATTCCTTTTATTATGTGTCCAGTTGTGAAGACTTGTGTATCAAATATTGTCTATATTGATAATATTGTTGACATTGACACTGGACAAAGTTGATATTGGATGGCACATATTGCATTGAAAGATGAGCAAGTAAATGCCCCTCTGACATAGGGGGTGATATTATTAGCACCTATAATGTCACTGCAAGAGTAAATCTGGGGACAGTATTGACATCTGGGTTTGTGGAAGAGTTCTGTTACTATATTCCCATCTTCATTATACACCATGTTGTAAGTGAATAGTTGTTTTAATTTGGGAGGTTGTATGTAAGCCAATAAAAGCTTGCCACATAGTTTCTGTGAGAGGAGTAACCCCCCCCCCCCAAAGAGCTGTGACTGTAATAATTTATAATAAATACTTCAGCAAGATATGAGACTCTTGTGGCCCTATGTAAGTTATAGGACTACATTTTCCAGCATTCTTTATAATTGGTTATGCTAGACTGAACTGATGGAAGTTGGCAGTTTACCAGTTTCTGGAGGTCTACCTGATTCCTGACCTGTCTTTGGCCTAAATTCAAAGTTTTCAGGACTGACAATAGGGTTGATTAGGCACTCAGTATAATGACTCTGTTAACAAACTATGGACCTCATCACATTGATGAGGTCCCCGAGATTGATTTGTTAGCCTCCATGGGGAGCCCGGCACCCCGCACCCGGCCTCAGCAGCAGCAGTGCTTCCCCATCACATGTGGGGAAATGTCACTGCACTGCTTCCCATCACACTGGCCCCATGATTATTTATGGAACAGGCAAGGTTCCCCATGTTCTGGGACAAGTGTACTAGGACACTTGTGCCCCTGTTCACTACCATGGAACACAGACACCATTTACACTGACCATTTAATGTAGTTTCAAACCAGTATTTAATAAAGAGGTTTCACTGTACAGAAAATTACACAGGAAATCCTAAATCCAGTTTGAGAACCCAGTGGTGCTTACACAAACCACAGAGTGCTGATGTGCATGGAAAGCTTTTTTTTCCACACTTTAGTGAGAGTTTGTTATCTGGCCACTGTAGTTTGAAGCTAGCTTCGAGCTGCATTAAATGGTCACTGTAGATGAGCCTTAGGTGAGAATGTACCATTTTTATACCCTGCATAAAAACCAAATTTGGTGTCTTAAGGGAAAGTCAAAAGACAAATGTGACAACTGCGTGAAAATAGCAGAAATGTTATCCTTGTTATTCAAAAATGGCAGCTGGGAAATTCTGGGAGCTGTAGTCTCAAAAAATAATGTTTTTAAGTACCGAGTGAAGGTAATCATTATAATAGTGATAGCAACATATATACTTTCAAGTTGTTTCCAACTTATGCTGACTATGATGAATCTATCATAGCAGGCCTGTAGCCAGGATTTTGTTTCGGGGGAAGCTGAGTTTGATTCGGGGGGGGGGGCGGAGTCTGAGTGAAAGAGGGTCTACCCTAGCAAACCTTTTGTATCGTTACCCCAATACCCCCATGCATATGGGATATATTGAGTATGGTGATCAGATCATGATATGAATAAACATAACAGTTTAAATAATGTACCAGTAAGGCCTTCTCATGGACCACCATGAGAATTTTTTTGGGGGGGGTGAAGCCCCCCCCCCCCCCCCCCGGCTACATGCCTGTATCATAGAGTTCTCTTGGTAAGATTTGTTCTGACGGGGTTTGCTTTTACCTTCCTCTGTGTCTGAGATGTCTGACTTGGCAAAGGTCATCCAGTAAGTTTGCATGGCCAAGCTAGGTTTTGAGCTCTGGCTTCCCAGAATCTAACACTCACTGCATCATGTTGGTTCTCAACAGCCATATATGTAGTGTGTGTTTCCAAAAGGTACCAAAAACAAAAAACAGAGAGAGAAAGAAAAAAATGAGTTCGAGGTGGCAGCACACAATAGGCTAGGGGGTGGGAATACTATGCACAGATCAAAGCTATCAAATATATAAAATCATCGTAGTACAGGGCTTGGGAAATTGCATTTTATAGCAACAGAATGCATATCCTTAACATGTGGTTTTTTTATTCCTGATATAGATAGATAGATAGATAGATAGATAGATAGATAGATAGATAGATAGATAGATATTATTTGAAATAAAATATTCAAAAGAGTGTTCTTTCTGCTGATACTAATCGCTTCTGTCATATACTGTATGCAGTGTTGATAAAGTAGTTTAGGACAACTATTTTTGCTAATCAAACAGCATTTTTTAAAACTCCAAATGTTGTTTCTTTTCCTATTGCTTTACAGGTTTCATTGATTTCATAGTAAAGCCTACCTTTGCCCTCCTTACTGACTCCATGGAGAAAATAGTTTTGCCTCTTATAGAGGAAGCTTCAAAATCTGAAAGTACTACCTTCACATCAAGGTTTGAAGTTTTTTTTCTCCATATTTTAAAATATTGAATATTGAAATTGCCCTAAATAATATTGCCACCTAGTGGTAATATCTATAAGACTTATTATGTGAGAAGGTATAATGCAGAGCAGGAAAACTGTAAATATGGGAGTGTCACATTTTAAACGGAAATATTAGTTTAGCACCCCTTGAGACTCCCTGTGAGACATAGGTTCCTTCTTTCAGAAAAATCGCATATTTTAAAGGCCTGCTTTGCATTTTGGAGAACTAGATTATCTTCTCTATATGGAAATAGCTAAAAATGCATATGGGAGAAAAATATATCTTTTTGACAATAGGAAAATGTACATTAAAATGTGTTTAAAAATGTTTATGAATTTCCATGTGGAAAGATGGGGAAACAAACTTGTGTTACTTACTTATTTACTTTACTTAGGCAATCCCTTATTGTCTGAGTTTGATGGCCCTCCAAGTGTTGGCGGTGGATACATAGGTGGCTGTAGAGCCCTTTTCTTGACCTGCATGTTGTTCCACAGTGAGGACATTGGTTTCCAGGTGGAAGGCAGTCCTGGTCAGGGTTGGCTTGGCATGCCTTCCTCTTGGCACATTTCTCCCTTTCAACTTCATTTCGAGCCTCTTCAAATTCCACAGCACTCCTGGTCACAGCTGACTTCCAGTTAGAGTGCTCAAGGGCCAGGGCTTCCCCATTCTCAATGTCTATGCCACAGTTTTTAAGGCTTTTGGCTTTTGCTATTTTTTGTTGTTGTTGCCTAATGGCATTGCTGACTTTTTCCAAACTTGGCAATGCTGCAAGCTCATCCCTGGTTTGTTGTTGTGGGATTTGCGAGATAACCTCTTCAGCCACATTGGAGCTGTTGTTCAGGAGCTTATGTTAGTGTTCTTTCCAACTTAGTGCAATTGATTATTTTTGTCCTTCAGAAGTTTGGTTCCATCTGATGAGCATTGGGGATGTATGCCATGATTTCCTGATCCGTAGATGATCTTTTTGGCTTTAAAAAATCCCTGAGCATTATGGACATCTGCAAAGTGTTGGATTTCTTCAGCCTTTTTTTGTCCACCAGATGTTCTTGAGTTCTTTGGCCCTTCTTTGGACCTCAGCTTTTACACTTCACAGTTGCGGTCTCTCTGCCATACTTGGAAGGCTTTCCTTTTCTCATCAATTAGCTGTTAGATCTCCTTATCACTTTCATCAAACCAGTCTTGATGTTTCTTAGTTTGGTATCCAATGGTTTCTTCTCAAGCTGTGATGTTGGAGGTCTTCAGTTTATTCCAATGTTCCTCAACATTTTCAGGGTGTTTTAATGAGTAGATGATCCTTGAGTGTTGTTTGGAGAAGAGCTCACTTGGAGGGCTCTTGAAGGGGTTGAGTGTTCATTTTTCAGCTTATCTTTCTTCCTTGGAGTCTGCGTTTGGGGGTGATCTTGATGGCCATCGTGGATCGGATTAACTTGTGGTCTGTTCAGCAGTCATCAGCTCCTGTCATGGCACTTGTGAGAAGCACGTCACTGCAGTCTCAGGCATGTGTAATTATATAGTCTAAGAGGTGCCAGTGCTTTGACTGGAGGTGCTTGCATGATGTCGTAAGCTTTTTTTCTAGTGGAAGAGCGTGTTGGTGATGACAAGGTTGTGTTCCACACATTTGATGAGAAGCAGGATGCCATTCGAGTTGCTGTTTCCAACCCTATCTTTTCCTATGGTTCCTGGCACCAAATCAAAGTGTCATCAACCCTTGCAACAAAATCCCCCAGGAGAATGATTTTATCCTCCTTAGGTATCTCTGATAAGATGGTGTCCAGCTGACACTGACATTTTTCAGTGATGTCTTCATCAGCATGTAGTGTTGGTGCATAGGCACTAGTGATGGTTGCTTATTGATTTTTGGCAAGGTTAATTTGGAGGGTTAAGAGTCGTTCATTAATGCTGATAGATGCTTTGGACAGGTGCTACACCAGGTCGTTTCTGATAGTGAAGCCAACTCCGTGTATTCTTCATTCTTCTTCAGACAGTCCCTTCCAGAAGAAGGTGTAGCCTCTTTTTTCTTCCTTCAGCTGTTCCTCTCCTGCTCTTCGGGTCCCCTGAAGTGCTACTATGTCAATGTTAAAGCATCCCAGCTTCCTTGCAATAATAGCAGTCCTGCATTCAGGGCATTCACTGTGTTGTCCGACAGTGTCTGTACGTTTCATGTTCCAAAGTTCATTTTTCTTTTCTGGCTGCATGGTGGTGACCCACCTGGATATGGCAGTCCAGCCAGGGATAAGATAGGTAGACTGTGTTTAGGGTTCTTTTTCTAGCCTTCTACCCATATGGGGTGAGCAGAGTGGATCTTAAAAAGTGCTACTCAGTCATGGATACAGCTGCCGGAGTACTCAACTGCCTTTGATCTTGAGGTAGAGCGACTGAATCCATATCCACCACCCATATGCCACTCTGTGTCCTGCCTCCGTTGCCACTTGCTGATCACCATGGGACTTTTGTTGGTTTGGTATTATTTTTCTTGGAGGACACCTGTGCGTGAGTTTTTTGTAATGTGTGGAGGTTGGTGTACAGCTGATCAACATACAGTCTTCACAGAATGAGGGTCCCAACCAGTGGCTTCTCAATGTGTTGCAGCCTTCTTTCGCCTTCACAGCCATTGTAACGTACCATTTGTCTTCCACCATTGAGGTCTTCAGACAAGTATGTCCAAAGAAGACATACTTGTGCAACCTGGTACTATGTTTTAAATGTGTTTAATTAATGTTTTTACTGTTTATTGTGTAATTGTTATTTTGTTTATTGGTTTCCCTTCTTAACTTGTAATTTATTATTATATTATTTATGTTTATTGTGTTTTTGTGAGCCACCCCAAGTCCTTTCAGGAAGATGGGGCGGGATAGAAATAAATATTATTACAATATTACTATTACCCACAAAAGATGTGACAAGAATACAGACTGGGTTTGGAGAAAGAACAAATTCTAGTCTGAACTGTTTTTTGTTTTCCTATTTCTTTTCTAGTGAAAATAACCCTGGAGGAAGTCTTGAAGTGAACAGAAGGCTAACGATTAAAAGTTCTTCATGTATGGGTTTAACAACTGTGGATTTAAGAAGATTTAAGGACGACTTGTTTCAGATCGTACAGGAAAACAAAGACAGGTGGAAAGATTTAGCGGAAAAAGGTATGCTTTCCATTAGGAGTCATACTCATACATTTGTACTGTACTAATAGACATATCTGGTCTTATTAGACTCGAGGCCCCATCTACAATGCTATTTAATCCAGTTTCAGAATGCAATTTAACTGCATTGAACTTGATTATATGGCAGTGTAGACTCATAATCCGCTTCAATGCCGTTCAATCTACATTATATGTGTATAGACTGACCATTATATTATAGTTTAAACTGGATTTTATCACAGTATAGATGGGGCCTTGATTCAGGTATAGCAGTATTGAAAGTCGACCCAGGCTGTATCTACACTGCCTTATAATCCAGTTTCAGAATGTGGATGAACTGCATTGATCTTAATTATAGGACAGTGTATATTAGTACAATCCAATTCAATGCAGTTCATCCACATTCTGAAACTGGATTGATTATAGGCTAGTGTAGAGCCAGCTTCATTTAAATCTACATATTTTAGTGGTTTAGTGCTAAGTTAAGTACCACTTTCAATGAACATTATTTGACTAGTTTTAGTCAAGACTAACATATAGCTGGTTGAGTTCATTTGGTTTTCTTCAAGCATGCCCAAGGGTGCATCTACACTGTGGAATTAGGGCACCTTGACCGCCATGGCTCAATGTCATGAAATCCTGGGATTTGTAGTTTGATGAGGCACCAGTATTCTTTGGAAAATAAGGTAAAAGGCCTTGTAAAACTCCAAATCCCATGATCTCGCAGTTGGGCTGTAAAGCTTATGTAACTGGGCATAAGCATGATGGAGATGTACCCTCCTCTTTTTCTCTTCTTTCAAGGCCAGACCAGGGCAGTGGCAGTTGGGCTGTAAGGCTTTTCATCTGCCTCTGGGTCTAAGCATGATGGAGATATGCCCTCTTATTCTTCTCTTCTTCCAAGGCCAGACCAGGGCAGTGGCAGTTGGGCTGTAAGGCTTTTCATCTGCCTCTGGGTCTAAGCATGATGGAGATATGCTCTCTTATTCTTCTCTTCTTCCAAGGCCAAACCAGGGCAGTGGCAGGTGGGTTGTAAGGCTATTCATCTGCTTCTGGGATTAAGCATGAGGATGATGTAAATTCCTCTTCTTCTCTTCCTCCAAGGCCAGACCAGGGCAGTGGCAGTTGGGCTGTAAGGCTTTTCATCTGCCTCTAGGCCTAAGCATGATGGAGATGTACCCTCTTATTCTTCTCTTCCTCCAAGGCCAAGACCAGGGCAGTGGCAGTTAGGATAGAGGAATGGCCTTTCACCTGCTTCTGGTCCTCAGTATGATGGAGCTATGCCTGCCTTTTTCCCTCTTTCTCTGAGGCCAGGGCAGTGGCAATTGGGATGGAAGGGAGGCCCTTTCATCTGATGGACTCCACATAACTGCCTTAGCGTGTTCACACCACTAGATGGTAGAAGTTAACATCTTCAAAAACTGAATCTGATTTGACTTACAGATGCACAATTGCATAAAAGATCTGAGAATCTGAAGTTTACTCATGAACAACACTTGGTCAATGAAATGTGACATTTTGCTGGTCTTTGAGCTGCAGTGCATTTAACAAAAGAACTCTGCTGGGTAGGATCAAGGGTTGGATCCAGCATCCTGTTTTCAACAGTGGTCAAATAGATACTTCTGGAGTGCTTATAAATAGAGCCTGAAGGCAGTAGCTCAATATTAATGGGAACCAGTGATTCCCAATCTTGGGTTTAGACTTCAACTCCCACAGTTCCTAACAGCTGGTAAGAGAGCTGGGATTTCTGGGAGTTGAAGTCCGAAACGCCTGGAGGCCCAAAGGTTGGGAACCACTGCCTATGCCCTTGGAAACAACTGGTATTCAGAAGAATACCACTGAATTCTGGTTGGTCAAATTTAATTGTCATTACTGTTATCTACCACTGGTCCTTCTTCATGAACCTGTATCATACTAGAAATTGCCAAGTATTTAACCTCACCACTTGTTTATGTGACTGCTGGCAGAGCTTGGAAAAGTACTCCCCAGCTATACTCAGAATCCTAACAGGCATGATCTGCTACCCTTTGGGGATGCAAAAATCAGTACTTTTAGTCAATATAACCAGTGGGGAGATTCTGGAGGTGTGATCCCAAAGGGCAGCCTTTGCAGGCTCTGGTCCTCGGAAGAATGCAATTTCTCCATTCCCTTTATTTCTCTTTGGCTGTGTTTGGTTAGGTGACTTATAATTCAGATATCATTCCGAAGGCAGGAAAATCTGATTTTGTGCTACATTTTTCTCCCTTTCTTTAGAAGAACTGGTACAAAATAAGGCCGAGGAGAAGAAGGAACAGCCAAAAGATTCCAGCAGACAGGCTCCAGAGTCTCACTTGAAGGAAGGGGCAGCAAAGATGGTCAATGAGAACAACCAATGTTCCAATGCTGGAGCACCATCCACAGATGCACCCTGCACTTCTCTTGTTGTTGAAGCACACACTTTGAATTCTCTTCCCTCCATTCCTGGTTCTGAGACTGACTCTAAGATTTCTTTGAATGCAAAAGGACCTCTGGATGTAGAACAAGAAATACAACCTAATGTCCCACTAAATGGTAATACCATATCACCAAATATTTATCAGGTGGATATTACTGTTTATACTCGTGTATAAGATGGCCTCATGTATAAGTTGAAGGCAGGTTCTGGATTTTGCTTTGACTCATGGATAAGTTGAGAGTAAAAGAGCCATGTAACAAGCAATTATTTTCTTCTCCTTTGACAAATGTATAGAGCAGTGGTTCCCAACCTGTGGTCTATGGACCACCAGTGGTCCACAAGAATTGAAATATGATCCGCAGCCTCACCATTACTACACCATTGCAACGAAAGCAACTGGTCTCACGAAACACTATTATATTGCCGAGGCTTATTAAATATGATGGGCGAGCAGATGGCAACTACTAAATATCATATGTTCTGTATCAGAAACTAGAACTGATGTGGTCTATCCAGTGCAATTTTCTGAAACAGCACCCCAAATAACCAAACTTAAATTGAAGTTGAGCAAAAACTGATTTGTCACCCTTTTGGTACTAATGTTGGAGCATGGTCCCTGGTCAAATTGGTCCTGGTCAAAAAAGATTGGGAACCACTGGTATAGAGGGAACATGCTAAGGAAGAGATCGATAGAAGGAGAACGTCTGTTTATTTGAGGGGTTATAAATTGCATTGTTGATCTTAACATCTATACAGATGAGGTAAGGAACATAAATTAGGAGAAAGGATGGGAATCTGGCCTGAAAAAAGGGAGACAGAAGAGCAAGGAAAGCAATCTGCTTTTTTTAAGGAACCAGCACAAGCAGCAGAGCCAAGAAGTGATCCCATCTCATTACCTCCCTCCTTCAATGCCAGTTGTGATCTATAAAGTCCTACATGGCTCAGGTCCAGGCTATTTGCAGATCATATCTCCCGGTAGGAACCTGCCCGAGCCTTGAGATCCTTGCAAGAGGCCCTTCTCCCGAACCCACCTCCATCACAAGCTCAGTTGGTGTGAATGAGGGGTTGGTCCTTCTCCCTCAGTGGATGTTCCTCAACTCTGGAATTCCCTTCTTCCCAGGAAAGCCAGGAAGGTTCCTTCCCTGCTGTTGTTCTTCTGGCAGTAGAGGAACATTTTAAAGAATAGACCAGAAGGCGCTGTATGATGTTTGAACTGATTTTAACAGTTTTATACATTCATTGTAATGTATAACTGGCTTGTTTTAATAATGGTAATATTTAATGATAATTCCATATTCATATTTTAGGTGTTTATATTGTATAGCTTTTTTTTCAGTTTAAACCACTTTGGGTCTTGGTTCCTGAGAGAAAAACAGGGTAAAATAAATGCAACAACTATAATGCAATGTTTTGTGTGTGTTATCAGAAATAAGTTCAATTGGATTTAATGTCAGTTATCTCTTTACCTCTTGGTGGTTCAGAGTGTTAAACTGCTGAGCTGCTGAACTTGCTGACCAAAATGTTGGTGGTTCAAATCTAGAGTGTGGGGTGAGCTCCTATTATTAGCCCCAGCGTCTGCTAACCTAGTAGTTTGAAAACATGCAAATGTGAGTAGATCAGTAGATAGTGCTACTATGGGAAGGTAACAGCGCTCCATGCGGTCATGCTAGCCACATGATCTAGGAGGCGTCTACGGACAATGCTGGCTCTTTGGCTTAGAGATGGAGATGAGCACCACCCCCCAGAGTCTGACATGACTAGACTTAATGTCAGGGGAAACTTTTACCTTTACCTATCTCTTTACAACTTAAGACTACTTTGATAGAAGCTTTTTGTTATGAGCTGAAAACAGAGGTGTCCCTGAGAAGTAAGGATAACCTTTTCTAAGTAAACAGTAATGGCTCTTTTTCTGCCAGAGCAAGTCTCTCTTTGTTGTTTCAGCACCTCCTGCTAATTGTAGGTTCTTCTTAATACAATCATCCCAAACCCCATGGGCCAAGTCATTTGTACTAAAATAAGCAACAGGTCTCACTGCTAATTCTCCATTATATTGAAGAAATGTATTACCACCATGAGAAATAGCTATAGATGATTTCATTTCCTTAATGTGGAAGGTTCTTTGCTTGCATGGAATGGGAGAAGGGAATAGCCCAAAGCCCCTTGATAACATGCTGCGATAATTAGTTTAGATTAAAACTAATGAAACCAAATGCAGGATGCATGCTGGAGGGCATGTTAACCATATATGTAATATCTGATGAAAGAGTTGTTTGTAAATGGAAGGCAGGCTGATGGCTTTGTCTTAATATTACAAGATTATATGGATATTCCTACTAGCTTGAGGTGAGGAATTGGGACTGGGGGTGTGGGGGAAGCCTGGATGTGATTTACCCAAACCACCTCCAATCTGACACCCTACAAAATGGTAAAAATGTTTTTTTAACACACATAGGATTTTTATTAGTTTTCAGAAATGCTCAAAAGACGAATCCTGCACTGATGAAAATGTTCTCAATTCAGGACTTATTCTCCACAAAATCCGTATGTGACTATTTTGTGCAAAAAGAGCACTCCCTGTGCAGGAAATGTTTTCTGCCTGGAAAATAATATTTCAATGTGGAACTATTAATTTCTGCACAAAAAAACACTGTTGAAGAAAAGCAATGGCAAAGCTCATATGAAGAACTCATTCCAAGAAACCCTAGGATAGGTTCAACATAGGTTAGCGTCAACGTGAAGGCACAACCCCCCCCCCCAACTCTAGACCATAATGGTTGTAATCACAGTCTAATAACTATACTGGTTAGGTACAGACATCATGCAAATTTTGTTTAGATGCTTTTTGGGTTTTTTTTTCTTTCCAGGTGAGGCCAACCTCAGTGAGAGCCCAGAAAAACCATGTAAGGAACAGAAACAAGGGGTGCTTCGCAACTAGATGAACGGTCTCTTAATTCTTTTGCCTGTTTTGAGAAGGAGAGGTAATTTTTTTGGGGGGGGGATGGTATTTATTTATTGTCATTATTGCTCTTTCAGGCCTACTTTTAAGTTTGGAAGTTTGGGAGGTTAAGTCTTTCTCTTTGTTTAGCAACTTAAACACTGATGTATCAATGGGACCTATTTTTTAGAAATAGGAAAATGAAGCTTGAATGAATAATTGCTTGGTGCAGGGGTTCTCAACGTTTTAAAGCAGTAGAGCCCTTTTTGAAGAAAAAGTTTCATTCGGAGCCCCAAGAAATGTTTGGATACAGGGGCTGTATTGCATTTTAGAATTTGACACGTGGGCCAGGCCAGTGGAAGATGCCTGGAGAGTGTTTGTGTGAACTAATTGGAAAAAAATGAAAAAAAATCCTATTATGCACACTGCACATATCTTCTTTGCAGTGAAATAAAAAGAAAGAATAACACAATATTTAAAATTAAGAACAATTTTAGCCAACGTATACTTAACACTATTTCAGTGGAAGAGCCTGGGGGCCATCCAGGCTTTGCAATATTATTAATAATAGGGGCAACACCAGGGGTCACACAGTCCAGTCTGTTTCTGCCATGCAGCAAAAGCACAAATCAAAGCACCCCCAACAGATGATTATCCAGCTTTTGAAACAACAAAACAACAACAACAACAACAGGAGCAAACCAAGGGGCCACCCAGTCCAACCCCCTTCTGCCTTACAAGAAAAGCACTGGGGCCTGGGATCTTCAAGCATGAGCTCTTTGACTATCCTCTGAAAGAGGAGACACCCGGTTTGCCCCCATCACTAGTCATGGAAAAGCTAAAGGGGTAGAAAGACTATCCTATTTCCTCATGGGGCATGCCAGATGCCTGTTTCTCCCCAAACCTGAGCAGAAAGTCCACAAAAATGTCCTCTTTCCTATTCTCAGGGAAACCTGGTAACTTGCTGAACACTTCCAGGTCTTCCTTGTCATCCAAGTCCAGGAGCAGCAGGGAAACTGAGTCCTTGGCAGAGGCCACAACCATGTCACCACCCTCTGACTCCATCTCTTTTCTCTCACTGACTGTGCTTTGGTGAGCCCTAAGGTCTCCATGGAGCACAGTTAGAGAACTGCTGGCTTAGTGAGTCACCAGGCAGAAGACAGTTCTCTTAATTTAGGTTTAAGAGAAGTGTCTGTACCCCTCTGGAATGAGATTCAGTCTAGTCAATTTTCTATTCCCCTCTGGAGTGATGGAACATTCACGTCATATGTATGGCAACTTATATTGTTTGTATGTGAAGCACAAATTTCCTTTGGGCCTTTCTTTCACCAATACCATGGTGGGCATTTAAGGAAGACTTTTGAAAGAAAATAGCAGCAAGCAAGGCACGCACATACCCAGGAAGTTGGAAAAGTTGCTTAAGGGAGGATTAACCCCAACTGGTAAGACTGCTAGTTGTATTAAATGATAGGTTCCAGGGTGAACAAATAAAACTCATGATATATATAGCCAAACATTGAAATGGGAAGGCCTGAAAAAAATTTCCCCAATGTTTCTATTTTTTAACCACATTTTTGTGTTTTTTCCCCATTTTTTCTGTTTTTCCCCACTTTTTTCAGTTTCTCCCATTTTTTTTTCCTGGCTTTTTTCCCAGACCTTCCCATCTCTAACCAAGCAGCATCAAGGTGTGGTCAAGCTACATGATGATGTAAATTGTTTATTCCATTTTCCTGGTCTCCATTGTGTGTTCAGTCGTAGATTTCTAAATATACCTTTTTCTTTACTTTGCAGTGAAATGATTTATGTTCCCTACAAAGACAAATTTCGGCCATTTACTCCCTTTTATTTTGGTTTCAGGATGAACAGAAGAGAATGAAAACACCTTCATTTTCCACAAAACTGTTTACCTTCTCTGACAAATTATCCATGGACTATATCTGCCGAACCGAGGGACAGAAATGTTGATATTAAACACCCTAAAGCCCTGAGCTGGTAATTCGGGGCACTGAGAGCAACATTAAAGATTCAGAGTTATTTTACTGCTTCTTCAGATCTGGTGTCCTTGTGGTAACTGAAATACATTTTCAGCCAACCCAAAGGTGGTTGATTTTAATCAACGGGTCCAGTCAATGTGTGCTTTTTTCAAAAAACAAACCCTGAATAACAGAGACTTCTTAAAAGCCTGATCTTGGTGGAAAATATATTTACCACTTCTAAATGATCACGGATGGTTTCTGGGATCCCATGGTGAAGTTATTACAAATGTTCTTTCTGCAATCTTCTTGCATAATGACATTCATGTCTGCTTTGGTATGGTGGATGGGGTTTCTGAAAAACCGAACTTCAAGAGCTAAGTCACGCAAAGCCTCTTGAATAAATTGGTGAATGTATTGATGACATTGTGTCCTTACATGACAACAATCTGGCATCTTAGTTTGATGTGTCATGTCTTTAAAAAGGAAAAAAAAAATCCAGCTATTTAAAATTAGTAAAATTGAATTAGACTAGAATGTTTGACAAGGTTCAAATGGGTCTTTTTTGGGATTCAGAGAGAGGCTTGGAGGTCATGTATGTGCTCAGCATGCAGATTTGTTGCATGCAGAAGGTTCAAGTGATAACCCTTGGCATTTCCTGCTATAAAGGCTGGCCTGAGATCTCTGCTTGTGAGCCTGACGTTCTGCTATCAGTCAGAATAAGCATTCCTAGTCCAGACAAATGGATAACTTGTCTCTCTTCAAGCCTACTTGATCTAGTCACATTCAAAGCTATCTTCAGAGACATTCTGTGTGTGTGTTTTTTGAGTAGATAAAAGGACCACTGTTTATTTCGGTCCATGATCTTGACTTGCTCAGGACCATTCTGTGGGCTACACTGTGGAAATAATTCAGTCCTGGTCTGCTTGCCACACTAAAGACAATGTCGTGACTGCATTGGTTGTACTCCTGGACTGTAACAACTCTGCATGGCTACAGTGGCACCTCTGCATCTTGGCTTACTCCATGTTGATCCATTTTATCCTATCAGGGATGGTATAAAAGAATACAACAATGTCATCTTCGATTATATATGTCACTTTGAAAGCCATATATGAGCTGTGCCCATTAAGTATAAGTGACTTAATTTAAGAAAAAGGATTTATCGGGTGCACAGAGAATGAAAACAAAATGCATTTTTATAATTTAACAAAGTGACTAAAGTCCAGGATTTTGCATTTAGTATGGACTTTGTGCACTGTGCAGTATGAAAAGGACATTTTAAAGCATAAAGCTGTATGATATATGGTATAAAGCAAATTATAGTTTGGCTAAGTTGTTTTTTCTCTTCATGTGTGTACATATGCACACGTGTCCACAAATGGCTACGACCAGGTAGCACCAAGAATCTAGCTCATGCACTATATCTTCATGCTTAATACAATAGCTTTTTTCATTATAATAATTAATTTGCTTTACAGGAAAAGTAGATGAGAAATGTATCCAATAGACACTCATATTCTGGGGCTAGCCTTAGGACTTACTCAGGAAAACACCCCAGTTCAAACCCTTTGGAGCCCTATTCTAGACATCTATCCACTTCCTCAGCTGAAATGAGACTTTATGGTTGGATTGGCTTCATACAGGACAGGACCTCATGTGTGCAGAGCAAGTCATTAATTTGAGGCACAGATTTTGCAGATAACTCCATTTGTGGAGCCTTATATATATGCTTTACAGTTTCTTTGTGCCACATCTTTTCTGCAAAAAATTGGTCACTTCATCCTCTTGGCTCCTCTGTAGTATCCCAGTAAAGAAAGAGACAAAATGCATGAGTTTAGTTGGAAGCTGGAAAAATAATTTGAGCAAGAAACACTGAAATTTATTCCCTGGTAGTGTTTTCAGTGCCAGATCTAGAAATTGGAAAGTGGGGCCTACTAGTACATGTTTCAGTACAAGAGAACCCTAACCCTAAACCTAACCCAAACCCATTCCCTGGTAGTGTTTTCAGTGCCAGATCTTGAATCTGGAAAGTGGAAAGTGGGGCTTACTAATACATGTTTCAGTACAAGAGAACCCGAACCCTAACCCTAACCTATTCCCTGGTAGTGTTTTCAGTGCCAGATCTTGAATCTGGAAAGTGGGGCCTACTAGTACATGTTTCAGTACAAGAGAACCCAAACCCTAACCCATTACCTGGTAGTGTTTTCAGTACTAGATCTTGAATCTGGAAAGTGGAAAGTGGGGCCTACTAGTACATGTTTCAGTACAAGAGAACCCTAACCAGAACCTGAACCCTGCAAGCCACTGGTAGTATGATGCCTGTTGGGACATATCCGTTCATTCCTGTTCATTCTATTGAGCAGAGGGTCCCAAACTCTTCCCCTGGTATTATCACTGGAAATGTGGTAGCAAGAAGTGCAAAAGTAAGAAAAAAATTGTGTGTGGCACTTTAACAAGTACAAGGCAAAATATTTAACAAAAATGAAATCTTCATCATTTGCAGTGGTGGTAATAGACAATTCTCATCCCTTTTCAGAAAGGATTACACACAAAACATATCAGCTTTGAGAGTCTTCACCTGAGTCCGTCTCTTACAGCTGAGGAAATGGAGAAAAATGCTGGTATATATTTGAGAAAAGTGCATTAGCACTTGAAAAGGTTACTTAGAAAAGTGGGAAGCATTTGAAAAAGTAATTTTTCCAGTCTATACAGTCACAGAACTGTGCAACCAGAAAGAAGGAGGGAGATTGCCCTCTCCTTCTTCCATGTCATGTGAGTGGCCCATTCTGATATCAGCAGAGACATCCACAATGGTCAGGAGCTCTGCGGCTAGAACAGAACAGCAGTAGTAACATGGAGGTCAGATTCAGGCTGTCCCCAAGGGAATGGAAGTACTCCCGGACCACCTGAACAACAAATGTAGATTCGGCATACACATTCCAGACCCAGTGCTACTTCTGGGCATATTTTCAACAAAAATAAGAGCCCTGGGATCAAAGTTGCAGTTCAACAATGGGATGGGGTTTACATATTGTTCACATGTTGCCTAATTCTGAAACAGTCACTCTGCCTTCTTCTCCAAGTCATTCTGAAAAGGCATCACACCAGTCAGGAACAACATATAAGTCTCCTGGATTTCATTTGCTTGGAAAAACTCATAGTGGTGAATGCTTACTGGCTTTTAGAATAGTGTAAGTGTTGGTGAGGAGAAGAGATGCATTCTATATGTGTTTATATTTGGTTTTTATTTGAACTGTCTCTTTGTGTTACCATTCAAAGCCATGTTTCTCCCTAAAGTGCTATAGCAGAGGTGGGAAGTGTTTGGCTGTGGGAATTGTACAGGGCCACAGCCCCCCTCCCCATTTCCAGTCTGTATTAAGGTGAAAAAGAGTATTTAGAGCCCCCAAGGAAAGCACAAATAGAGGGAGGGAAAAGGATGAATCCATCTTGCAGTGGTCCAGAGTGGAATGGTAGTAGCTTTTGATACAGATATTAAGTTCTTCTTGTGTGAAGTTCTTATACGGTCAGGGACAGGGGCATGCATCTTTTGTTGGTTTGCAAGCATTTAGAGTTATCTGCCTTGCCTCATCTGGCCTTTCCTGGGCACCTGTATTTAGAGTGCCTTTTCTCTTCCAAAGCCATGCAACACTGGGATGGAACTAGTTTTGTCCATTGAAATTTTATGTGGGCTGACCACAGGATTCAGGGAATCTTAAACAAAGTAGGCTCTAATGAGTCTTCTGCTCTCTAAGGACCTCATCCCATTGAGACTGGGATTCACCACACATCATGGCGAATCCAGTGGGGCCTGGCGGGGGGTTGGGGGGGGACAACGACCCATCACTCCACACATCACTCTCCTTGCCCCTCACCTCATCCCAGAAGGGAAAGTGTCACCACCCGACTTCCCCATGCAACACAGGAAGCCTCCCATGTTGCCACTGCTGCCTCGTGTGACACTTTGACTCCAATTGAGGCACGGAGCCCCACAGGAAATAGATCAATGTTGTGTGATGGGAGTTGGCAGGCTCCGTGACTCAAGTGAAGTCGAAATGTCATAGGACGGACAATTTTGCCCTTCTGATGAGGTTGTAAGAGGTTGTAACAGGCAGTCCCCAAGTTATGAACAAGATAAGTTTTGTAGGTTTGCTTTTGAGTTGAATTGGTATGTAAGTTGGAACAGGTACTTTTTTAAAGTTTAACTCCACACACACACATACACATATATCTTTGGCTAGCATAGGGAAGGGTTAACACCTCTGTGGTGTTTGTTTTGCTGTCTGTGCCTCTGTTCAAAAGATTTCACTTTCTGTCCCTGTGAGAATTGAATTTTGCACCAAAAAGAGATTGTTGTAGAAACAGGGATTGGTGATCAAGTTTCAGTGAAGATACCTCTTCCCCATGATAACTCTTTTCAGGAGTGATTTTCCCTTCCTAGAAGTAGATTTCTCTTACTTCATGTTGTCTCACCCCTATCTTTAACTTAACTAAGAGTTTTTTGTTAGTCGAATGTTTGTAACTCGGGGACCGCCTGCATATGGGTTTGTGCTCCTGGATGCCTTCATGATGTTCAATGACTTCTGCTTCTTATTGCAGGGTAAACTGGTTTAGCCTTGTGTTAAGAAAAGTATTTGAATACCCCAGAATTGGCTGAAAATCCAGAGCTATCCCATGGTTTGGGCATAGTGCAGGCATCAGGACCACTGTTGTCAATATTTTCAAGATGTGGAAACAATTTTAATGTGTCAAAGCATCCTCTATCACTGCAGATAAGAACATTTGTGGCCATTCTTTAATTCACCACCACCACCACCACTACTGCTACTACTACTACTACTACTACTACTACTACTACTGTGTAATCTTGTATTATTCTGAGTTTGCTGCCTCTGTCCTGTCCAGAAGCAGCCCCATCCCCACCCAAAATGTTTTTGTGACTGCAAATGCCGTAGATGT